GCCCTAAAAATAAATAATAGGGAAGAGGAGGAGTATAAAAATAGACTCCAGATGAAGCAATGGAGCCGTCACACACACACACACACACACGCGCACGCGCGCACACACACACACGCGCGCACACACACAGATGTGCACTCACACACATGCACACACACACGTACATACACATGCACCCACACACATGCACACATACGCACGCACACACATATGCACACACACGTGCCCACCCACATGCACACACACATGCGCACACACACACATGCACACAAACACAGGCACCCACACACACACACACGTACCGACACATGCACCCACACACATATGCACACGCATGCACCCACACACATGCACACATGTACACACACGCGCACAGACATGTATGCACACACGTGTACACACATGCACGCACACATAGACACACACACTCACATATGCACACGTACCCACACATGCATGCACACACACGCACGCACACACACATGCACACACACCCCCACATGCATGCACCCAGACATGCACACACATGCACCCACACATGCACCCTCACATGTATACACACATGCACCCTCACATGTATACACACATGCACCCACACATCCATACACATGCATGCACACACACATTCACACACACGCACACATACATGCACCCACACATGTGTGTGTGCATGTGTGTGGGTACGTGTGTGTGCATGTGTGTGGGTGCATGTGTGTGCATGTGTGTGAGTGCATGCATATGTACGTGTGGGTGTGTGTGCATGTGTGTGGGTACGTGTGTATGTACATGCATGCACACATGCACCCACACACATGCACACAAATACACATACAGGCACACACATATCCCTCTTCTGGAAAACTTGGCGGCACTGAGTCAAAGACAAATGAGCAAAATCACAGACACACACTCACACTCAGCTCACGAATAACCAGCCAGGCGCGGTGGCTCACACCTGTAATTCCTGCACTTTGGGAGGCCGAAGTGGGCAGATAACTTGAGGTCAGGAGTTTGAGAACAGCCTGGTCAACATGGTGAAACCAGTCTCTACTAAACAAAAATACATACACAGGTTATAAAAAAAAATACAAAAAATTAGCCCGGCATGGTGGCACACACCTGTAGTGACAGCTACTCAAGAAGCTGAGGCAGGAGAATCACTTGAACCTGGGAGGTGGAGGTTGCAGTGAGCCAAGATGGCACCATTGCATTCCAGGCTCGTTGACAGAACCAGACTTTGTCTCAAAATAAAAAAATAAACACAACCTTCCAGGAAAGCTCTGGACCCACTACACCCACCCCATGGTCAACAGAGATGTATGTGTCCTCGCCCACGTCTCACACACGCACACACACACACACACACACAGGCTGCACAGGCACACGTGCACACACAAGCATAGAGCCACCGTGGTGTATCCAGGGGAGGGAGGTGCCCAGGGACAGAGGGAGAGGAGGGGTAGTGAGTCCTGCCCATCTCCCATCCACCTCCCCAAGTGCAAACAGTTGAGCCCGTGTTCCTGGCCTGTTCCTGGCAGCCCCTCTGCCGGGGAGAGCCTGGAGAGATGGTTTGGTGAATGGGTGGAAGAAGGCTAGGGCTGCCGTGGAAAGAACCAGAGTTTGAGGTTCAAATCCCACAGGTCCAGCATCTCACTAACAGGTTCAGAGATATAATTTAACCTGCCTGAGTGCAAAGGCAGGTCAACGAGACCGTACCTGGTGTGTAGAAGGTGCTAGATACATGTTTTTGAGAAGGTATCTAGGAGCCTGCAGCAATGTAAACAAACAGACTAGACATCCCGCTTATGCATTTGTGGGTCATTTGCCACCCCCAGCCTGTTGAGAAATGCTCAGTGTATGATAAATTACACTGTTTGCTAAGAAGAACGATGGCAAGGAAGCCCTGGCCACCACCCACCCCGCATCGGAAAACTGCTTGGGGCATTCTAAAGCAGCAAAACAGTATATGTATATCATACACCGGTGAAAACAATTCTTCAAGCACTGGATACGTGACCTGCCCCGGGGCTCCCTCGGGGAGAATACTCTCTAGTTTGTACTTGATCAGCAGTAAGCAGGCACCAGCTGCCTGCCTAGTTTATCTTGGGTCTATGAGAAAACACAGAACACCTGTTTGCTAATACTAATCACCTGTTCAGAGAGAATAAACAAGTGGGTCAGCGCTCAAGGCCCTCAGCCCAGAATGCTGTCAACTCCGTGAGACTCTCAGCTGGGAAGGCTGTTGGCCTCTGATACACTTTCCTGTTCTATCTGGGCATCTGCTTCTTAATGCCTTCAGCGCCACCTGGCTGGAGTCTCTACGGCCGACCTGAACCTCAGTTGCCGCACGTATAAAGCGGGGCTTAGTCCGTGATGCCTTCTGCCTGCTCCATTGTGGACAACTGCTGTGAGATTTGAAAAAACGAGACCGTGAGGGGTGGTCTGGTCCTGTGGGGGAGAGAGAGCCCCAGAGGACAGGGAATCACTGGTAGCTACTGTTTCCGGCGCCCTCTCTCCTCTACGAGAACACCCCCACCCTCCAGGGCACCCACCAGCTATGTTTGGGGTCTAGTGGAGAAACTGCCCCAGGGTGTGCATTTTCAGAGTCGGGAAAGGCTCCAGCCAGAGTGGTGTTGGGGGCCGGGGGTGGGGGTGCATTTTCATACGGGGGTCAGAAGAACAGGACTGCTCCCTGGAACTGCCTAGGACCAACCTGCTGAGGCAGCTCAGCCGACCGCAAATGCAAGGAACACCCCACGGCCAGTCTCAGACCAACAACCACCATGACCTTGAATAACTGGTGCGCACTAAATCCCGGGGAGTGTGTGAGTGTTCCTATGCACCATCATCTCACCCTCCTAATAACCTGTGGGGTTAATGCTGTTATTGTAATACCTATTTTTACATATGAGGAAACAGAGAGGCTAGGTAACTTACCCAAGGCCACACAGCTGAAAGGGATGGAGCCAGTTTTGCTGCCCGAATCTGGCTGTCCTGAGTCCTGCCATCTCCCATACAACCTGGGCCAATCTTAGAGGTCATAGACTTAGCAGGCACTGGAGGGACAGGGGTGCCATGCTGTTGGGGACTGGTCATAACATGGGGACAGAAGGCAGCAGGCACCATCAGGAGACCTAGTGCTGCTTTGCCTACTTGGTGACTTGGTGACCTTTGGCCAACCCCTTCTCCTCTGGGCCTCAGTCACCTCATCTGTAAAATGACAGGGCTGGGCCATGTTCCCTGGAGGCCCTCTCTGCCTCTGATTCACCACACCACCCCCACCTCCAGCTGGAGTGGAGTGGTGCAATCTTGGCTCACTGCAGCCTCTGCCTCCTGGGTTCATGCAAGTCTTGTTCCTCAGTCTCCCAAGTAGCTGGGATTACAGGCGCACACTCCCACGCCTGGCTAATTTTTGTATTATTTTTAGTAGAGACGGGGTTTCACCATGTTGGTCAGGCTGGTCTCAAACTCCTGATGTCAAGTGATCCCCCTGCCTCAGCCTCGTAAAGTGTTGGGATTACAGGCATGAGACACTACACCCCTTTTTTTTTTTTTTGAGACAGGGTCTCACTCTGTTGCCCAGATTGGAGTGCAATGGTGTGATCATAGCTCACTGCAGCCTTGACCTTCCCAGCTCAAGCAATCCTCCCACCTCAGCCTCCTGAGTAGCTGGGACCAAAGGCACGCACCATCAACCAGGCTAATTTTTCAATATTTTGTAGAGATAGGGTCTCGCCATGTTGCCCAGTCTGGTCTGGAACTTCTGGGTTCAAATGATCCACTCAGCTCTGCCTCCTAACATGCTAAAATGTCCCTCTTTTTTATCTAAACCTTTATGGAAATAAGCAATGAAAGCTGAGCCCCTATACATAATATTCTCTGCTTGTACATCCCCACAGGCTCCCTGGAGCAGCCCCTGCTCCTGGCGCCCCAGGCTTCCGCCCTGGAGCCACACTGGCCCACGCAGCCCCTCATCTCGCTGCCTCCTGTTCCTCTCTGCTGGGATGCTGAAGCGTCCCTCTGCATCTGTCTTATCACCCCACGCCCCTGTATCCTCTTCTGGACCATCGCGGTGAAGGAGGCTTTCATGAGGTGGGTGCAGTGACCGGTATGTCCAGCAGAGGTCGCAGGGAGACGCGCCACCCTGGGGCATGGCAGGTGGAATTGTGTTGTGTTGGCACCCTTGGCAGCCTGAATGTGAGGAAAGTGTGGCAACAGCCAGAGACCCACGTTCTGGGTCTGACTCTTCCCCTTGGGGGGCCTCCTTCTTTCCATCTGTGAAGTGAAGTGGCTTGGAAGCCCTGATGGTTGCTAGGCAACCTTCCTGCACCAACATCCTAGGGACCTTTCTGATTGATACTGGGGGAAGGGAACTGTCTTGAACTCCCTTTGGCAGAAGAAATTGGCCCAGCAGCCAGAGGTAATGGAGCAAGATGACTCCAGGGCCCTTCCACAGACCCGACTGAGAAAACAGCCCACTGGGCACCAGCTTAAGGAGGGGAATCACCCCTGGGAGAAAGGAGGGCTTCAAATCAGGCTGCCCGTGAACTCCCTGCAGTGGTGTGGGACATGGAGACCCTCTGGAGGCCCAGAGCCCAGGTGACAGGTGGCAGCCTCCCAGAGTACAGCTTCTGTCCATATCTGGAAAAGCCCAGGGAAGCCTTGGTGGGAAGAGAGAATGTACCCTCTTGTGCTCCACAGCTGCAGGCCCTGGCAACAAGGCTGGAGGCTCGGCCATCTTCCTTGCTCAGGGGGACCCTCCTGCCCCAGTTCTCAGCCCCGCCTCTCCAGCAGCTCCTAATTCTGAGCTGAGCTAGGAGAGCAGGGTACAGGCCTAGGGCTCCCTGCAAAGATGCACAGCTGGGGGCTCAAGGACACTCCAGAGAACAGGACCCAGGACCCAGTCCTCACAAGCACAGAGAAGACCCCCTCCCACCCCCACCTCCACCTTCCCACCCTTCACTCCATCCCCAAAGCATTAAAGGACAAGACACAGGCATGACACTGATGGAGAACATTGTCTACAAAAGTTGTAGTTAGCCTGAAGGATGGATTGAGGGTACAGCGGTGGAAGCACAGCGCCTGCTCCACCCCTGCACCGGGAGAACCCGGAGGGGCTGCGGCGGTAAATGGACAAGGAACGGGAGAGAAGGGCAGCACCTGGGGCTCTGGGAAAAACAAGTCGGCACTTGGGGGTGACCCCAGGATCAGGCCCAGAGAACAGGAAAAAGCGCTGCGGTGGGCTTTGGAGGCGGTGGCAGGCAGCCAAGTCCTCAGTGTCCTGTAGTGGGACAGGGACCATCTCCTCCATGCCCCCCGCTCTGGGCATGTGTGTGGGTATAGGAACCCCCACACAGACCAGAAAGAGGCCTTGAGGGTTCTCTTTCCCCTGCCCTAGCCAAGAGGGCCCGAAGAGGAGCTGGGAGCTGTGGCCATGCTCCCAGCAGGTCAGGGATGCAGGGCCATGGCTGAGAGAGGAGGAAGGCACCTCTGCATGGGATGTGAAGGGGCACACATGTGTCGGCGGGCTCCTGAGGGACTCTCCCACATCTGTGACCTCAGTCTGGCTGGAGAGCTCTGGGGGCACATATCTGAGGACACATGCTCTGAGCACCCTCTGAGCTGGCCTTTCCCCTGGTCTCACCACCATCACAAGGCTGGGACACATGAGCTCTCCCTTATCCCCATCCATGCAGAATCACGAAGCAGCCCAGTCCCTTCCAGACCTGGAGGGAAGCCCACCACGCAACACCCAACGCGAGCATGCACACATGCGCACACACATGAACACACATGCACATGCACGTGGGCACATGCATGCATGTGCACACACATACCCAGAATACGTGCACAAACACGCTCTCACATACCACACATGTACACATGATACATGCACAAAAACATGCACACACACAGCCCTGGCAACCTGGGGACAATCTGCAGTTTAAATTATCCACTTTCTCCAGTGTCTACATCGCAGGACTTACCCACCCCAGGCCTGACACCCAGCCACGCCCTGTTCTGCCTGTCCTGGGGCTGCGAGACTAAAGAGGTTGGCAGATGCCTTCCTCTAGCCCAGCGCATGCCTGCCAGGCCTGGGGGCTATAATACTGCAGCCTGTTGGTCTAGCACCTTGCATCTAGCGCCCTGGCCCTGTGGAGTCCCTGGGGGGCCAGGCTGCACAAGGAAGAAGGGGGAGGCTGGAGGAAGACAGGCCAGGCTCTACCCCTGGATGAGCTGGGAAGGGCGTCAGTACCCCCACCCCACCCCAACCTGGCTCTCCAGCTCCGGGCCTTGGCCAGTGGGTGAAGGAGGGGGTGCTGGCTATGCTTGGGTTGCGGTGCAGATTGAGAGGGCATTTGGCTGAAGAGTCGGCTGGGGAACGTCCCCTCTGGGGTGGACAGGAGGAGGGGAGGCAGGCCAAACTCTTCCCTTCACAAAAATGCAGGAAGCGAGCAAGTCTCTGGCCTCAGCACAAGAGAGTAGGACCCTCAGAGGAGGGGTGGGAGAGGCCACAGCACCCGGGACAGGTGCGGCGCCCTCCCGCATCCACCTCCCACACTCCCACCCAGCTCCAATGCCCGTGCCCTCCCTCTGGAGCAGGCCTCCCCCATGTCTACATGTCCTTTAGGGCTGCTCGGAGGGGGTGCCTCAGGGCCTTGGAGACCTCTCAGAACTGGAGTTCTGGAACATTCTCTTGCCCTTCTGGTGCCTCCAGACCACACCCTCTGCTTCAAGGTGTAGACAGGCTTTCAAAGGAGTTGACCATGTGGTTCTTGCTCCTGGGAAGGGGACTGCAGAGCTGGCGACCGTGGGGACCTCGAGGCCCCACCATAGGTTGTGGCAACTTGCAATTCATTTTGGTGTGGGGAGAGGAGCCCCGGTTACCTGTGGAGGAAGAGACAGAAACGGATCTCAGGTGAGGTCCTTCAGAGGCAACATTTTTTCTCCTTTTTCCTTTTTTTTTTTTTTTTTTTTGTGTTTGTCACTCTTTTTGCCCAGGCTGGAGTGCAATGGCGTGATCTTGGCTCACTGCAACCTCTGCCTCCCAGGTTCAAGCCTAGGCAAGAGGCAGTGGTGGGCCCAAGCAGAATGATTGCCTCCCAAAGTGCTGGGATTACAGGCGTGAGCCACTGTGCCCGGCAACTTCCAGTAACTTTGAACATAGGCTGTCTACTATAGAGAAATGATGGGGTGGACGGAGGACGGACATACTACTCAGTCACGCCATTAGGAACTCCAGAAAGGTTGGACGTCAAATACCCAAGGGAGGTCTGGTTGTGGACAGACCTTTTTTCCAGAACCTGGTCTGGCTTGAGCTAGGTTGGTCCAGTGGCACTTGCTTTCAAGAGCCTCCAGGAGGCCCCAGTGGCTCTAGGTCACCTTGTGGCCCCATTGGATTGGGTGCTGGAGAGAGAAAGCACACAGCCCCTGATACTGGGTGAATGAAACTGGGTCTTTGAAGAGAACAGTTGCTAGGACAGTGAGAGGGCACGCAGGGGAGCCTGGCTGTGATCTGGTTTCTTCCGGCTCATTAAGCCTGAGACTGGTGTCCATGCCTTAGGCCAGCTGTCCTGTGGGGGGAAGCTGCTGTTCATTTCATGCCATCCAGTCACAGTGTCCTCTCCCTGTTTTGACAGCAACCTCTCCTGCTTGAGGTCAGTGAGGGTCTCTTTAGCCTCAATTTGCAGAACAGGAATCTCGGTGACTTCTTCCC